CGGATAAGACTTAGTATAAGCGTTTCGGATTAGAATTACTATATAGCGCGTTCTAAATAAAACTTAGTATAGGCGTTATAGATAGTAGTACTAACAGGTAGCGCTCCGGATTAGACTTACTATACGCCTTCTTAATAGTACTTAGTATTGTAAGCGTTCTAAATTAGACCTATTATAGGCGTTATAGATGATAGTTAGCTTATCCTACGCGTTCCGGATAGTACTACTCGCTATAGATATTCTATAGAGTACTCGTAGTAGGCGTTATATAGGCCCTATAGGGTATTCGCTATAAATAGTTCGAATGCTATTTAACTATAGGCGTTTTAGATAGTATTTGCTATAAGCGTTCCGGATAGTACTACTCGCTATAGGCCTTCCGGATAGTGCTTAGTATAAGTATTTAGTTTCGGATTAGACTTAGTCTTACTTTATACATTCCGGATAAGACTTTCTATAAGCGTTTCGGATTAGACTTGCGTATAGTATACGCCTTCCGGTTTATATCGGACCAACTATACTAAGCGTTTAAAATAAGGCTTGTCCTACGCGTTCTATATAGTACTACTCGCTATAGGTATTCTATAGAGTACTCGCTATAGGCGTCTTTAGTAGTATTTTCTATAGGTGTTTCGGATATAACTTGCTATAGGTATTCTAAATAGCACTTACTATAGGTATTTTAGATAGTCCTGCTTGCTATAGGCGTTCTTAGTAGTACCTGCTATTAGCGTTCCGAATTAGACTTACTATACGCGTTCCGGATAGTATCTACTCTACGCGTTTCGGATAAGACTTAGTATAGGCGTTTCGGATTAGAATTGCTATATAGCGCGTTCTAAATAGAACTTAGTATAAGCGTTATAGATAGTAGTACTAACTATTAGCGCTCCGGATTAGACTTGCTATACGCGTTCCGAATAGTACTTACTAAGTTACTATTATAAACGTTCTAAATTAGACTTTCTATAGGCGTTATAGATAGTAGTTAGCTTGTCCTACGCGTTCCGGATAGTACTACTCGCTATAGGTATTCTATAGAGTACTCGCTATAGGCGTTTTATAGGGTACTTACGGCCCCTTTAGGCTTACTACGGCTTAAAATAAGCTAAAAGCCGACTCTACTTAGCTATAGCCGAGGAACTTTAAAATTTCTTAGTTTACGAGCGGTTCGGAGATTATAGGAGTCGTAGTATATAGTTCGTAAGCGGTTCGGAGATTGTAGGAGTCGTAGTATATATCGTAAGGCTACGATAGTATTATTTCCGATGCTATATCGGTCGTTTATACCTAATCCGGCGGTATTTGCTCGAGGCGGTATACTCGAAAGGCTTAGCCTACGCGTTTCGGATAGTACTACTCGCTATAGATATTCTATAGAGTACTCGCTATAGGCGCTTTATAAGGTACTCGCAGTAGGCGTTATATAAGGTACTCGCTATAAGTAGTTCGAATACTATTTAGTAACTATAGGCGTTTTAGATAGTATCTACTATAAGCGTTCCGGAAAGTACTACTCGCTAAAGATATCTCGGATAATTATCGCTATAAGCGTTTCGAATATTACTACTCGCTATAAGCGTTTTTAGCAGTATTTGCTATAGGCGTTTCGGGCGTTTTGGATTAGACTTACTATAGGTATTCTAAATAGCACTTGCTATAGGTATTTTAGATAGTACTACTTGCTTTAAGCGTTCTTAGTAGTACTTACTATTAGCGTTCCGAATTAGACTTGCTATATACGTTCCGGATAGTACTTACTCTACGCGTTCCGGATAAGACTTAGTATAAGCGTTTCGGATTAGAATTGCTATATAGCGCGTTCTAAATAGAACTTAGTATAGGCGTTTTAGATAGTAGTGCTAACTGTTAGCGCTCTGGATTAGACTTACTATACGCGTTCCAAATAGTACTTACTATTATAAGTGCTCTAAGTTAGCCTTACTATAGGCGTTGTTAGTAACAGTTAGCTTATTCTACGCGTTCCGGATAGTACTGCTCGCTATAGATGTTCTATAGAGTACTCGCTATAGGCGTTCTATAGGGTACTTAGAGTAGGCGTTATATAGGGTACTCGCTATAGATAGTTCGAATGCTGTTTAACTATAGGCGTTTTAGATAGTACTTACTATAAGCGTTCCGGATAGTGCTGCTCGCTATAGTCTTAGCCTATAGGCCTTCCGGATAGTGCTTAATATAAGTATTTAGTTTCGGATTAGACTTAGACTTAATTTATATATTCCGGATAAGACTTTCTATAAGCGTTTTAGATTAGACTTAGTATACGCGTTCCGGTTTATATAGGACTAACTATACTAAGCGTTTAAAATAAGGCTTGTCCTACCGACTCCTACGCGTTCCGTATAGTACTACTCGCTATAGGTGTTCTATAGAGTGCTCGCTATAGGCGTTTTATAAGGTACTCGTAGTAGGCGTTATATAGGGTGTCCGCTAAAAGTAGTTCTAATGCTATTTACTATAGCCTATAGGCGTTTTAGATAGTATTTGCTATAGGCGTTCCGGATAGTGCTACTCGCTATAGATATCTCGGATAGTTACCGCTATAAGCGTTTCGAATAATACTACTCGCTATAAGCGTTTTTAGTAGCATTTACTATAGGCGTTTTAGATATAACTTGCTATAAGTATTCTAAATAGTACTTACTATAGGTATTTTAGAAAGTACTACTTGCTATAGGCGTTCTTAGTAGTACTTACTATTAGCGTTCTATTTTAGACTTACTATACGCGTTTCGGATAGTACTTACTATACGCGTTCCGGATAAGACTTAGTATAGGCGATCCGTATTAGAGTTACTATATAGCGCGTTCTAAATAAAACTTAGTATAGGCGTTATAGATAGTGGTGCTAACTGTTAGCGCTCCGGATTAGACTTACTATACGCGTTCCGAATAGTACTTAGTATTATAAGCGTTCCAAATTAGAATTCCTATAGTTGTTTTCGATTAAAGTTGCTATAAGCGTTTTGAATTAGACTTACTATACGCCTTGTAGGCAGTACTTGCTATAAGTGTTCCGACTCGGAAAGAACTGCTTACTACAGACATTTCGAATAGTACTCGCTATAGGTATTCCGGATAGCAATTACTATAGGCGCATTCCGGCTCGCTATAGGCGTTTTTTAGGGCACTCGTAGTAGGCGTTATATAGGGTACTTGCTATAAATAGTTCGAATACTATTTAGCTATAGGCGTTTTAGATAGTATTTGCTATAAGCGTTCCGGATAGTACTACTCGCTTTAGGCCTTCCGGGTAGTACCTAATATAAGTATTTAGTTTCGGATTAGACTTAGACTTACTATATATATTCCGGATAAGACTTTCTATAAGCGTTTTAAATTAGACTTGCTATACGCGTTCCGGCCTATATAGGACTAACTATACTAAGCGTTTAAAATAAGGCTTATCCTACGCGTTCCGGATAGTACTACTCGCTATAGGTATTCTATAGAGTACTCGCTATAGGCGTTTTATAAGGTACTCGTAGTAGGCGTTATATAGGGTACTTAGCGCTCGCTATAAGCAGTTCGAATACCTATAAGCGTTTCGGATTAGACTTGCTATACGCGTTCCGGTTTATATAGAACTAACTATACTAAGCGTTTAAAATAAGGCTTGTTCTACGCGTTCCGGATAGTACTACTCGCTATAGATATCTTAGATAGTTACCGCTATAGGCGTTTCGAATATTACTACTCGCTATAGGCGTTTTTAGTAGTATTTACTATAAGCGTTTCGGATATAACTTGCTATAAGTATTCTAAATAGTACTTACTATAGGTATTTTAGAAAGTACTACTTACTATAAGCGTTCGTAATAGTACTTACTATTACCGTTCCGAATTAGACCTACTATACGCGTTCCGGATAGTACTTACTATACGCGTTCCGGATAAGACTTAGTATAAGCGTTTCGGATTAGAATTACTATATAGCGCGTTCTAAATAAAACTTAGTATAGGCGTTATAGACAGTAGTACTAACTGTTAGCGCTCCGGATTAGACTTACTATACGCGTTCCGAATAGTACTTAGTATTATAAGCGTTCTAAATAAGAATCCCTATAAGTGTTTTAGATTAAAATTACTATAGGCGTTTTAGATTAGACTTAGTATCCGCCTTATAGGTAGTACTTACTATACGCCTTATAGGTAGTACTTACTATAAGCGTTCTAACTCGGAAAGAACTACTTACTATAGATATTTCGAATAGTACTCGCTATAGGTATTCCGGATAGTAATTACTATAGGCATATTCCGGAAGTAGTTACTATAGATATTTAAGACTATCTTGCTATAAGCGTTCCTAATAGTGCTCGCTATAAGCGTTTCTAAATAGTGCTTTCTAATATCTATAATGCGTTCCGGATTAATATTACTTTTTAGTATTAGCGTTTTAGATATAACTTACTATACGCGTTTTAGATTAGGCCTACTATAGGCGTCTAGATAAGACTTTAGCTACTCGTCGCCTTAGGCTTCTCGTGTGGCTCTTCGAGCTACATAAGCCCTAGTTACCAAATAGGCTCTTAGAGAGAATAGCTATACAGGGCTTGATTGAGATTTCTTAAAACTTACGTAGCGTCGGGTTACCGTTCTCGAAAAGTTTTGGCCGCCAAGAAATCGCGACTTTTGCTGAAACACAGTCTGGGCGGATGGCTGGGGCTCGGTTTGCTTATTGAAGTAGAATAGCCATGCTCCATGCAAGCCTCTCCAAGACATCAATAGTATCGAGCATGCCAATGACGGTAATCAGACTTGAGGAGAAGGACCTTTCTCGGCCGTAGGACATCAGCACAAATTGTCTACTGTGCATCCGATTCCGAAGAAGATGCGGTAGAATAAAGCGAGCGGTAAAGCGGTTCTTCGCGAACCTCGGCTTATTACAATCTTGGGGCCCGGGCTGAGCTCACATGGGATGAACTGCAGACAAGATCATGCAGACGCGTGTGGATTGCATTTAATGTAAACCTAGGCTACATTACTCTTTCGTACTCTTTCGCAATCTTAGAGACTCGCGTCACTTACCTCTCAACGCTGAAATTGACCATGACCTCGCGAACGCATCCCACGTTGATTAAACCACCACCTCCATCGGAAGACAAGGCGCCTATCGAAGACGTACTCGAACTCACACATCTCAATGACATCGAAGCCAACATGTTTACCAACACTAGACCACTATGGCATCCCCCGGGAGCTCGCGGCATTTACGGTGGAGCTGTAATCGCACAATGCCTGGCAGCGGCTCAGAAGACCGTTCCCGAGAACTTCTTGGTGCATAGCATGCACTGCTACTTCGTATTAAACGGCAACAGCGAGATTCCAATCATATATCACGTTGAGCATGTGCGCGAAGGACGGAGTTTCGCAACGAGAACAGTCCAGGCGCGACAGCGCGGGCAGCCAATTTTCACAACCACCTTATCCTTCATGAGGGAGGGCTCTGGAGGAAAGCAGACTGTGCAGCATCAGGCCGACATGCCAGACATTCCGCCACCTATGGACATTGAGCCGATCGATCATTTCAGAGGCGCAAAGAGTCCTTTCGTAACACAGAGAGTGGACATCAGCAATAATGACTCACCGTACCCACATCTTAAGAGAACAAGGCAATGGATCAAATGTCGAGGGAAGATCAGCGAGGAAGGAGGGACACAGGCGCATTTAAGTGCTCTGGCGTACATGTCAGATTCGTACTTCATTGGAACTGTGGCTCGAGTTCACAAGCTTTGGCGATACACGAGTGCGCTGAAGAGTAACGAAAAGATCAAGAACGGCGAGGACAATAGCGGGAAGGGACTGATTACGCAAGATATATTTGAGCGACTGAAGAAGATGGATCTGGAGACGTTGAAGAGAGTGGAAGGCATGGATGATGACATGATCAATCAGCTCCAGAGTTTGGAGATCAAGGATGGGAAAATAGTTGGCTTGAAAGAAAAGAGACCGGAGGTGGGCATGATGGTCTCTCTGGACCACAGCATATATTTCCATAATCCGAGGGGATTCCGCGCAGACGACTGGCTATGCGCAGAAGCAGAGACTCCGTGGGCGGGCGATGGACGAGGCTTCGTCTTGCAGAGAATATTCTCGAAAGACGGCAGGCTGGTGGCATCGTGCGTACAAGAGGTAAGCAGGAAGATGTGTTGGTGTAAATGTGCATCTATGCTAACCATTTACAGGGTGTGGTGAGGCTCAAGCAGGAGCAGAACGCGCCAGGCTCGAAGCTATAGTGTGGTGTTGACTAGATTTCCTGAGAGGGCTGCTGTCATATATTGTTCATTCAGCGAGCGTCTGTCTAGACATAGGGCGTAGTATTATAGACGGCAGGGCAGAGTGCTGCGTGGTGAGAGCTGGTGGATCTCTCAGGTACAGAACCATTGGTGGCGGCTCATGCAGCCGAAATGCGGGCTTCTCCACAGTGTCCGCCGGCATGGGTCTATGCCGGTAGTAAGACCCCTCCATTTTATTAATTTATTCGACTCATACGGCGCCTGTTGACTCTTGCGCCGCACAAAGCGAGACACGGCGCTGTGAACTTCTTCCCTATCCCAACCCTTAGAACTACCACTGTCTGCCGCCTTGTGCTTGTAGAACAGGAAAATGAAGGGCATGTTCGTGAACACCTGCGCTCCAATGCCCACACCCCACCAAGGTACTGACCAAAGATGTCTACGTCTAGGCTGAAAGATCCTTCCAAGAAATACCGTCGATTCAAGCCATTGAAGCTCGAGAACCGACAATGGCCTACCAAGACCCTCGACAAGGTGCCGCGATGGCTGGCAACAGATTTGCGCGATGGCAACCAGTCGCTGGTTGACCCGATGGACGGCGAGCAGAAGTGGCGATATTTTCAGATGCTGCAGAAGCTTGGCTACAAGGAGATTGAGATCTCATATCCCTCGTCGGGAGATACAGACTACGACTTTACACGGAAACTCGTGACAACCCCAGGCGCAGTGGACGATGATGTGTGGCTGCAGGTTCTGTCGCCGTGTCGAAAGGAGTTGATCAGGCGGACTATCGACAGTCTGAAGGGCGCAAAGAAGGCCATTCTGCACCTTTACGTGGCCACAAGCCCATGCTTCCAGCAGATCGTGTTTGGCATGAACAATGAGCAGCAAATTGAGCTGGCTGTGGAGTGCACTAAGTATGCTCGATCTATTACAAAGGACGATCCGAGCACTGCAGGCACGGAATGGGCATATGAGTTCTCGCCAGAGACTTTCTCTGATTCTGATCCAGAATACGTGATCCAGATCTGCGAGGCTGTCAAGGCGGCGTGGGAGCCCTCGAAGGAAAATCCAATCATTTTCAATCTGCCTGCAACAGTCGAAATGAGCACACCGAACGTGTACGCCGACCAAATCGAATACTTCCACACCCACATCTCCGAGCGTGAAAAAGTCGCCATATCTCTGCACCCGCACAACGACAGAGGTTGCGCGGTTGCTGCCGCAGAATTGGCACAGATGGCTGGCGCAGACAGAGTTGAAGGCACTCTCTTCGGCAACGGCGAGCGAACAGGAAATGTCGACCTTGTGACTTTGGCTTTGAACCTATACACTCAGGGCATTCATCCTGGAATCGATTTCTCCGACATCAATAGCGTGATCGACATTGTGGAGAAGAGCAATAAGATACCGGTACATCAGCGTGCGCCATACGGTGGGTCTCTGGTCACATGCGCTTTCTCCGGCTCGCATCAAGATGCTATCAAGAAGGGCTTCAACCTTAGAGACAAACAAAAAGCTGGTCATGAAGACCCGTGGGTCATGCCTTACCTCCCGCTGGACCCACAGGATATCGGTAGAACTTATGAGGCTGTCATTCGAGTCAACAGCCAATCCGGGAAAGGCGGCGTTGCCTGGATCATCAAGCGAACACTTGAGCTCGATTTGCCTCGCGGTCTACAGGTCGCTTTTTCCAAGATCGTTCAGCGAGAGACAGACATGCTTGGACGCGAGCTTTTGGCGAACGAGATTAAAGATCTGTTTGCGGAAGCGTACCATCTCAACAGAAATCCACGCTTTGGCTTGGTAGATTACGATATCACGACAGATCGTTCATCTTCTCCTGCTCCACCTGAGAAGGGCAAGACCGCCTCGAATCGCAACCTCCGCAGGAAATTCATGGGTGTGATCGAGATCGATGGACACGAGCACAGAGTGCAGGGTGTCGGAAACGGTGCTCTCTCTGCTTTGGCCAATGCCTTGAAAGGTCTGGGTATTGACCTGGACGTCGTAGATTACAAGGAGCATGCCATCGAGCGCCAGATTGGAAAGCGAGTCGACACCCAGGCTGCAACCTACATAGAGTGTACAGCCGCCGGTGCTGCGCAGAAAGTCTGGGGCGTCGGAATTCATGAGGACGTGGTGCAAAGCTCTTTGATAGCATTACTGGGTGCAGCATCTTCGGTAAGCTCACTGTTACCTGAACTACGGCGCGAAGCGGCTAACAATATCGTCCAGTTCCTCGCATCGAGACCCGGCACGCCAGTCACATTCAAGCCCAAACGATCGAACACGGAGCACCTTGAGGTTGGGCCTGACCTCAAACAGGAGCAACGCGCGTTGGATGGAGCGCCAGAAAGTGCTCCTGATGCATCAAGTAAGATTGTTGCGGGTCTGGAGAACCAGGTCAATGGCAGCTAGGCGATGGCAGGCTGAAGACCATCTCGAAATATGTATTGCATTGAGGAGCATGTAATCAGATCGGCGTTCGTCAGCGGACAGGAAAAGTTTGAGATACCTGTTGGAGCAACCGAAGTGCATTTGCATTCTCACGGAAGCAAGATCGCTCCATATCCATACTTTGCTCTCCATTATCTACCGTCAGAACGGCTCTCAGTTGAAGGATTCAAATCATTCCTATCAACACTGCACGTCAATATAGGGTATGCCTATACCCATAATGCTATGCCACCACACAACGGCCAGATCCACACTGTGCCCGAGACGCCATCATCTGAACCAAGGTATGGCCTGAGATGGCGCAGCAAAGCGAATTCATGCTCCCTTCTGGACGCATCTGTGCTTCTTTTGATCCAGTGTATCTCCTGCTTTTAGCTTCACTCTCCTTCCTGATTCGTATTTCGTGGGATGAAATTTCTCGATCAATCATGCGCAGCGTTCGATGATAATCTGGCACAGGTCACAAGCAAGAAGATATGCATAATGATCAATTCCTCGAGCTGTGGCCTGAAAGCCTCTGATGGCGATCTCTTTACTGCTTGCCGTCCTATCTTAAATGCTACCGCCTTATTCGTTGTGATGATTCCGAGTTCTGCTGTGAGGCTAAATCCTCGAGCGTTTTCAATGACCGTAGAGACCTGAGCTAGATGGCCTTTTTCCTGGTATCATGCTCTGCTTCTGTGTCTTTGGAGGAAGCTTTTGTGATTATCAAGACAGAGTCGAGCTTGACGATGATATTTCAGGAGTTGCAGTGAAGTCTGCTCAATCTTCCTGTTTGTCTAATGGTAGAATGATTGTTCTCCAACGAGACTTGGAGCGAAGGAACTCTGCGCAGTGTCATTGCTGTTAGGAAATTATACATGATAAAGTGCTCGATGAGGTTAATCGTCGTCATGGAAATTAAACGGATGTCTTGAGTGCATGTATATGTCTTGCAACGACGTTCCTAATGATGGATGCAAGAATTCGCTCAGCTCGTGAGGAGCCAGGACCTACATCTCGGCTCGGCACTTGATCTATCAAATTATGCGAAGACTCCGTACAATTGTGTACTTCACGGAGTGGTCCTGCCGGCCGCTCTTGCTGATATCATGACTTACTTAGGTTGATGCCTCCTCACGGTGGGCCAGTATGGCTAAGTCGACGGTCTGGGTCACGACAACACATTTTCCTGCACCAATATTGAAGTTCGAATGTCGAAAACTTCGCGTTGCTCGGCAAAGTCTTCATGCTCAGGCTCGCCAGTCTTGGCCTGCAAGCATTCTGCCGCGAAAGCCTTTCAAGGGCAAGGCTACATGAAGGTAACAAACGACAGGCAAAATGACTCAAGTCAAGTAGAGCACACGACCGAGGGCTCGGAGTGAAGCCCTACTTTGCACTTGTCGGTGAACGTTCTTCTTGCGAGTCCAGCCTGCTCGATATCCCGGAGATCAACCTGGTTTTGGTACGTCATCGAACGAGCTCCGCATGGCGATGGTGATGCTTCTGTGGTAAGAATCTCGGGGCCGAGCCAAATCTGGACGGCTGGAAGTGTAGAATTTCTTATAAAGTTGTCAAGGCCGTACAGAATCGAGGTCTCTAGGGGATAATTGTTTCTAGGCCGGATAATTGTATTAGTCTAGGAACAGATACCCTGTATATATCTTAATAAACTCGAGCCTTACTATTATACCCTAGAGTCTAGGTAAATATATGCTTCTAGGCGGCTACGCGTACCTAGAAGTGCGAGCGAAGCTTTCGCCTTATAGCTAGCTAATAAGAAGCCGCTATCGTTATCGTATTAATTACACTTAAGAGGTATAGCAAAGAGTATAGAAATCGCATTTTTAACGAAATCGTATATTTAACGATAATTAGTATACTCGTAACCCGGACTATACTAAATAGGCTTATTATTACGTAACGGACAGACTAGAGCAGACTAGAGCAGTCTCGAAGGTCGAAGTCTATTATATCGCTATCGCTCTATACGGACTTCGACCTTATTCGAGATAGCTCTACTACCTCTAAACTATCTACTAAGTATCTAATATCTCGACGTCCTTACTACCGCTATAATTAAAATCCGAAGAGAGCATTGCCTCGATCCGAGCCTCTACCTCTACCTCTACCTCCGCCTCCGACTCCGCCTCCTCGTTATTAGGTATCGCCTCTATCTAAGCGATTATATCTACCTCCTCCTATACTTGCTTCTTCCGACGCTCCTCGTCGATCCGCTCCTAATAACGCCGCGCGACGTCCTCTATAGTATAAACTAGTATAGATAGGAGCGTACCGAGGTTAGCGGGTAGTACTAGGCGGTACTTATAATCTACGTTAGCGGCTAATATAGCTAAATAGCTAGAGCGAGTTACGCTAGCCTAATCTATAAGCTTAGACTAAGAGCTAAGGATACGAGTAGGAAGGCGGCCGGATATAAGAATATAGAGATTATAGATAGCAATAGTACTATACGCGGAGGCATTAGTCTGCCGCGTAGCATCCTCGACCTCCTCGTGCTTCTAGGTATCTTTAGGAGGCTAACCGGCCTCCTAAGCGCTATAATAAATAGATAGAAGTTTAGCAAACGAGAGAATAAGTCGGACGCCGTTGCTACCGATCGTACGAGTACTATCTACGCGAACATTAGGCTAAGAGTTCTAGGTTTGTATAATAGTAGTACGAGGGTCGATCTTAGCTACAACTAAATAGCTATTAGAAGAGTAGATTATATAGACTAGCCGAAGATTAGGCGTAAACTTAAGACTCCGGAGGGCGTAGAGTATATCTATTATATTCGTCTAGTACTAATAGCAACCTTTAGTAGTAGCAGATGCCTACTAATGTAGGTTAATAGGCTAGGCTATAGTCGTAGTTAGCTAACTAAAGTCTCGAATAATCTTACGAGCAATATTAACTATATCGTATGCTTGTCGCTCGTCCGTACTAGATAGGAATAGGAGTCCGAATGCGTTGTTCGGCGTAATAAGCTATAAGTTGCCGTAGTCGAATATATGCTACTAAAGCCTAAGCAGGTCCGTTATAACTTTATCGTTGTACTAAGCGCGAACGAGATTATTAGGGTCGTAAGGATCTTTAGGTACGTAAGCAACTATATCGAAGAAAGCAAGGGAACGGCTACCGCCGGTCGTAGGCAACCTAATAAGAGCTAGGTTGTTAAAGGTATACCGACCCTAACCTTATATAATACGAGTATACTTAAACGCTAGGTTAGTAAGGCGAACTATCTTAGGCCGAGGAATCCGGTCTTAGTACTCTACTCGATTTCGTACCTACTAAATGCGATCCTTAGTTGCTTAGAGTTGTTAGTAATTAAGGTACTTCTTACGGTAGACCTCCTAGAAGATATCCTCGCTATTAGGATCGGTTAAGAAGCGAGACTAGTAAGACAACTATAAAGGGCGAGTAGTGTCGATTAGCCTAACTTCCCGGCTACTAAACCTACTAGCAAGAGCTATACCTAGCTCGATACGAACATAGGCTATAAATGTACGCTCTAGTTCCTCGTCCGTAGGCCGTACGCTTACTTAATAGTAGGCTCGTAAAGATAGCGATAACAATAATACTATCGAGGTAAGAGACTAGGCACGAGGACGCTTGCCTATAGGGCCTAGTTTAGCGCGAACTTAATCTCGAAGAAACTGCTATTATAGACGTTTAGCCTCCTAGATCTAACGGATAAAGAGACTACGCTCGATTGCGGGATTCGCGCCTAGCTTAGGATAATAGCGCTAATAACGAGGAGCTAGCTCGAGATAAGTTATTAGGCGATATACATATCCTAAACCTAGAGGGAAGCCTCTACTCTCTACTTCTGCCTTATCTGGTAGTGTTTAGTCGACTAGTATAGGATCGTTAGGCTGTAAATCTAGAAGCGGCTGCTCTTCGCCTAGTAATAGCAACTTAGATAGAACCCTCTAGATCTCATTATCGTTGTCTATATTCTCGTCTAGTTGTCGCTAGTAAATGCGCTAGCCTAGAGTATTAAGAAGGCCGTTAGAGAAGGAAGATAAAGGCCCGCTAAAGTCGAACCTACGAGAGGATAGTACTAGAGATATAGGAGGCTCTAGAAAGAAATGCCCCCGTCTCTAATACTTATCCGCAATACGTATACGCGCGATACTAGTCTTACCGAGATTACGGATTCTCTAGAAGTTAAAGGCGCCCTCAATTATTAGACCTATATAGCTCTTTATACGGGAGAAGGCTATATAGGTAAGCCCCGCTAAGAAATCCTTAAGGCTAAGCTTAATAACAGCCTTGTCGAGCGTTATACCTTGTGCCTTATAGACGGTTAAAGCATAGGATACAGTTAGCGGAAACTGTTCCCTCTAATCGTCTTAGCTATCTACGTTACGCCGAATACGGAAGATTAGTATAATCTTGCGGCTATCTACCTCGAATAGCGCAGGTGCTTTATCCTTAAGACCCTTAAACGCGATAAAAAGGCAGAGAGGTAGTACTTAGCGGAGGTTCTTATCGCGTACGGACTCCGGCTAGATAATGTCGTACAAAATGCCCTAGCGGCTATTTACTAAACTAAACTTAGTCTAGAGGTTAGTTAATAGCATAAGTTTGTATCTAATAGAGACCTTTAATAGAGCGTTAAGGTTGTAGACACTCTTACTATCGATAGTAGCTGTCTTAGCGCGATTATAGTCTGCGTAGATCGGGAGTACTAGATTGCTAATATCTCGTAAACGTTAATAATTAAGCTCGTCGATATTAGCGTTAGTAAAGTAGATTCGAATAGTATCCTTAAACTCCCTAAGACGTACTATTACGTCTAGATATAAGGTATGCCGCTTCGTTAACGTCTGCTAGTGCGGCATCTATATATTACTAGTACGTAGCGCTTCGAGGGCCTCGCGGAAAGCGATCTAATCTAGACTCTGTCCCTCTTAGCGTATATTAGCTTTAAGCGAAAGCGACTTAGTAAAGCAGTAGTACATCGACTAGCTAGAGATTTCTTCTAGTGTCCGCGGCGTAGTATAGAATAGCGGTTTCTCGAAGACTAGCGTAAGCTAATAGAAGTCTCTAAAGATAATAAGGTTTATACTACTAAATAGTAGATTGCGATCGAGGTAATACTAACGAAGGCGCTAATCGAGCATATATAGAAGAGGCTAG